ACGCGGTGACCCCTCACCCGCAAGAAGTTCGACAATATCCGTATTACAGAGCAAACTGTAACAGTTTAGGTGCATCAGCAAAGGCCTTGAGGGTTGTGGCTGTATATAAGGGGAAGTCGTTGGCTCACTGGCAGCGTGTACGATATCCATCGCCATTTCTACAGTATATAGTTCATGTTGCGCTTTCGCGGGTTTGACGGACAATCACACTTAGACATCTTGCTTTTTTAGTCATGTTTTGCCACTACTGCCTGCGGGTGCAGCCTCTGTCTTTTTACTCTTCGTGGCAAATTAAAAGGAAGCGATCCCTTTGCCGCGAGTTCAACTGCTGCAAGGCGTGCCACCCCACCAACCGGTACAATTCCCGGCGCCAAATAGACGCTGCGAGGGACAGGGTGGCGCAGTTACTTGACCTACCTCCCGGCCGGAGGGAGTTTATCCGGCGAAGGATCGTGCAGATTAGGTCGTGGCCTCAAAAGAGATGTTCCATTATGGCTTTCTGCGAGACCTGTCTTTCTTTGTAGTTTTGTTTGTTCATGGTTTACCGAGAAAGCTCGCCGAACCAGTTTAGGTCGTGGCCTTGGAGCAAGAGGAAAGAGATTTCCCATTTTGGAGCAGTGCGAAACCTGTCTTTCTTTGCGGTTGTGTTTGTTCACGGTTCCCCGACAGCCCGCCAAACCAGTTTAGCAAAACTTAGTTTGTTTGGGCTGCCGGCAGCCATTTGTTTCTTTTACTTGGCCGCGGAACGGTCTCTTGGCTGGTATACCTTGCTCATTTGTTTTCTAATCCATGGATGTCCTTATTCTTGGCTGGGTTTGAACTCGCCAAGAGAGGGCATCCATGGTTCTTTTGGCGTCTTTTCCTATTTCCTGGCTGGGACTGACCCACCAATTCAGGGCACCCGGATGATCATTCTTTGGATCATGATTGCGGCAACGACCTTTATGCGGCTGTGGTCCGTATTCTGGCGCCGGAAGTTGCTGAGGCGGGTATGACGAATTTGTCTAACCTGGGCGACTTGATCGAAGCGTTGCTGGCTCTCGACCACAGAGACTCCTACAAGCTTCCGGGCTGGCAAGTCCACGAGGAAGCTGGAGACTATGTTGCACATTTGTGCCTGGGGTTGGAGCGTTTTCGGTATTGTACCCGAATGGCGAGCTTCGATGGTATTTGGTCCATTGCTGATTTGGGGCCACATTACCTGAGCGCCGTGGCGGACGACGAAAGTCCTACATATTCCCGCCAAAGATCGTTGCGACCCTTATCTGCGAGGCCCAAAGCTGTTGTCAAGCCCAGGGCCAAGGTCCTTAAGAAAAGAAAATAAAAAAGGATGGGCGCTTTGATTCCGGGTCCATGCTGGGCTTTATAGCTCGCATGGAGGGTAAGTTTTTTTGCAACCCAAGCCAGTGAACATCCATGAACATTACGCGTTTGACTGACGTATTCCTTTTGTCCCCTTTGAGCGTTGCCAACGAGGGACACGTTACAGTATTTATAGTTTCTTTGAATCCGGGTCCATGCTGGGTTTCTCTGCTAGCTCGCATGGAGGGATGAAGTTGTTGGCCATCCAAGCCCATGAACATCCATGAACATTCACGTTCGACTGACACAATCCTTTTACAGATCCCTTTTGAGCATTACCGACAAGGGACACGCTTTATATATATAGGTTGTTGTGTTGAATCCCGGTCCACGCCAGGGAGGAATGAACATGAAGAAGTGCAAAGTGTGTGCGTTTTTGGCCACCCAAGCCCTAGTTGTTTTGAACCTCACCCAACACTTGACCCTTCACCGCCCTGGGTCTTAGAATTTCTATTTGGCCGAGTAGTTCGCTTGGATTGCCAGACAACAATTCTCAGGGCCACCTGACCTTATAAGATGATTGTTGGTTTCACGAGTTGGTCATTGCGATGCATCTTGATCAACATATAGTTCGTCTAAACAGGGGTATCAAAACTTACACGTATACTTGGAACAATACGGAGTTTTCACAAA